TCGGCCTATTTTTTTTTATTATATATATGTGTGTGTGCGCGCGCGCATACATATATATATATATATATAATATGACATATATACACTCGTAGACTAGTTTGATACTTTGAATCTTTGGATGATTGAAGTATTTGAGTATTTCATATTTGAGTATTTTTAATTTTTAATATTGTTTTAATGTTTTTTTTGAAACCATTGTTTTGATGTTATGACTTATGAATTATCATTAATTCATTTATTTGGATGTGTTATTTGATTAAATGTTGAAAATAACCTCATTAAAATTGTCAAACTGCAAGTCTACCACTGTTTTTTTGGCGTCCGCCTAGCGCTGCCTAGATTCCGCCTAGGCGTCGCCTAGACCGCCTAGGTGCTAGGCGCTGTTCGGGCGCCCAATTAGCGCCTAGCGCCTACTGCAACCATGCGATTTACACAGTACAAACTCTCAGTGATTGTGAGTTATTTTTCTCAAAAAATTCAAAGCGTAACTAATGAATAGTAACTTTATTATGTGGAACCATAAGCCATTAAACCCAATCTACCCAAGGAATTTGCAGAACTACAAATACTTTTGATTTTTTTTTTCCGAAAATTAAAGTGTAAATTTCTGATGCAAGTTGTCAAGTTTATGGGCAGCCAAATTTATTAAATTTAATTTGTTATAAGATACTTCATCATGCTTCACCCCTTTACTTTTTCTTGTACTTGGTGAGTGTTGTGTCACTTTTGTGATCTAAATTTAGATACTTTTTTTTTTAGTTGTATTTTTATTTCTTTGTATAATTTTTTAAAATTCTTGTGTACACTTTAAAAGAATTTATGATGGAATGAATTAAAGTAGGTATAAAGTAATTAATTTTGAGAAATGAAACTGAATAGAAAAAGATAATATTTTTTTGGGGGGTATTGATTGTGTTTGAATAGAATGTCTTTATTATTATTTTTTTTTGAAGGGAAAATAGAATAGAATGTCTTGTTTCATCAAGACAATGGTTACAATATATATCCAAGGTTCTTCAACAATGTTAGTGAAACGATTGATCAGAGTAGGGGTGTGTTTGGTTCAAACTTTAGAATCGAAATAAAAAATGGTAATGTAAATCAAATACTTGATAATAATAATGAGTTTTAATGAACACTTGTTTTAATGAGTTTATGGTATTATTTTTCAAAAAAAAAATAATAATGAGTTTGAGTACGTCGGAGGATTCATTTAATTTGTGAGAGAGAATAAACGTTGAGAGTAGGAGTAGTATTTTTTTTTAATTTGTCCCATTGTATTGCAGTACGTTATACATATGTATATTTATATATTAACTATTTATAAATTGGGAGATTATATTATTATAATTTATAAACTAGTAAAATAAAGTTAGAATTTTGTAAAGAAGTAAAAGAGTAAAAGACATTACATCATCCAAGCATCCAAGACCAACAATAGAAATATGGACACGTTACTTATATAATTGGGTGGCTAATAATTCTCATCTTTTCTTGGACCGTAGGGCCACCTATATATGGAGCTAACAACTGAGAAAAAATAGTCAAGTTTCATCATCAATGGTGTCATGTTGCTGGTCCTTTTCGCATTTTTAGATCTTTTTAAATACGAAAATATTAGTGCTCTCAAATTCTACTCCAAATTTTTACTCCTCACAAAATTTTAATATTGACATTTTTATTGGGATCCACAAGATAAAATAACTAATCATCAATTGTCACATCAGAGAGTACAAATAGAAAGTACATGTAATAGAACTCGATAAATTAGCCAAATAAATACCCAAGGGTAGCTCACCTAGCTAGGTGAAATATTGCATCCAAGAATACAAGATCAATCCTGACAATCACAGTGTGGGGGTGACTCCTTGTGGACACTAAACACTAATCCTATAAACTAAATAGTCGCTAAGTTATTGTATAATTTAACTCTTCTACCATCTAGATAGGTCGCGGTGTGGCGGCCTAGAAACGGGGGGTTTCACATTTTGCATTTAAGATTAGCCAAATAAGGGCATTTGTACCCCTTCAAAAAAAAAAAACTAAAAATAAGGGCATTTGTTAGTATTTTTTTATTAAAAAATATTACTCGTTGACACTAATTTAATTTTATGACTCTTTATATGAATTGATTAAACAAAATCACATAAATTTGTTTAAATTTAATCGAGTCAGGTATAGAATATCCCGTGTATTAGTACAAGATCAAGGTATATAAAGTATTCTCAAAGTCATATTGATTTGTAAATTCAAAAGGATAAAAAATAAAGATATATACACACACACATTGAAGGGATAGGTTCCTGTGAAAACAGAGCTTCATGTGCGGTTGGTGTGGTTTACATCATTAGATATGTATAAATGCACCACACAATGTCCGAAAATACACCATTATGTGTTGTGCATTTTTTTGGTGTGTGGTGCATTTTGTGGCATTTCATTCTGGTGCATTTTCAGACACTGTGTCGTGTATTTATGCATACCTAATGGTGTGAACCACACCGACCGCACCTGTCCTCATTTGAACCAAAATCTATACATTTGAATTTATATATTTATTTTTTTAAAACAAAGAAGCTCACACGAAATTATGAACTTTGTGGCAAGTTAGAAGAGAGATGATATATGTATGGGACATTAGAAGATGAATCTATATAGATACGTGCACTGTGCACATCAATATTTAGGTTACGTTTGAGAACAAGTTTTAAGTTTATGCCAACTAGGTCATCAAGAACATATATTGATTGCTTTTTGGAATCTAAACTTTATGTGGTACATGTAAGGTATGCAATCGATTAACCGTTCGTTAATCTAATCATTTTAACCTAACTGTTTTAATCGAAATTTTTAAAGATTTAACCGTTAATCTAATTAAAGTTTTTTTTTTTTTTTTTCTGATTAATCGAAATTTTGTAAGCTAAAATTTTAAATCTTTAAAATAATACCTATAATAATAATTAATAAATTTAATTAAAATAATACCAATAATATTAATAAATAAATAAGAAAATATACAAACACAATACCATAACAACACTACGACATAAAAACACAAATCATAAAGTTCAAACATCCATATATATTTAAAATTTCAATTAATTGTTCGGTTAACCGATAGTTTCGAACCGAATTAACCGTTAACAGAAATTTCAGATCCTTTAACCATTAACCAAATCGAATTTTTTCGGTTAAAAAACGGTTAACCGAAATTCTTTGATTTGGTCGGTTAACCAAACTTTCACCGAAGTTTGCACACCCCTAAGTACATGAAATTCTAATCTAAGGTAAAAGCATTCCGATTCAACCGCAGCTAGTAAAATAAAAATTATGAACTTATTTTTTATTGAATGATTAGTTGAGTTGTGCTCCGAAATTCATTTTATTATTGATTTTATTATAGATCAATTTGAATTATAAAATAAAATACAAAAGTGAAAATTACAGGCCGGGTTGTTTGAACAATATTAAGCCAAAATTTGCTATAGTTTTGGATGTTGTACATCTATATAACAGAAAATATTATGATTTTTCTTTAAAAAAAAAACCAAAATAATGGATGGGTTCTATGAACATTTGAGGGCTAGTAGGCCACTTATATTGTGACACATTTCATGATTTATTTTAATTTTTAGTCTCCCAAGTAGAAAATTTAAGTTTGAGGTTCAAATTTATAAAATTTAGGTGAGAGAATGGATTAAAAAAATAGAGAAAAAAAATCCATTATCCTTCCATCTGATTAAATATTTTTTAATTGGCACAGACTTAGCTCACTAGTTTAGTAAATTGTATTTGGAGAAGAAGATTAAATATTTTCTCTTTAAAAAGGTAACAATAGGCCGGGAGCAAACACATTATTCTTTATTCTTTATCCTTTATCATTAATATACGTTGAATTTATTTCACTGCAGTTTTTCCTCCCACTTGTTTATCCATCTTGGCATAGCACACATGCACCAATCAAATAAAACAATAAAATAATACTAATAGATAAGAAAGCAAATTAATATTAATATAAGATAAATTCTATTAACACTTATATGAAGATAAAAAAAAAAAAAAAACTTTCTTACATATAGGAAATGTATTCTCGAATAGAACCCATTTGAGGTTTAGATACTATTATAGGAAAGATTGTGTCAAATTTACTTCGATCCAATTTGTGTTTGTCAAAAGTAAATGAGATATGACTTGACATAGACGCATAACTTATTTAGGAGCTTATTGCTTTTCAGCTAAGTTTGTCAAACAGAGCCATAGTAAAAATTCATCACTAATAAGGAATTAGATACGAATTTGACTTTCCAAACTATACTACATCCCACTACCAAAATGATTTCATCATATGGGTTGGAAAAAAGATTAATCAAACATCCGACATGTCTCACGAATTGAGACCCGTGAGACAGTCTCACATAAATTTTTACCTTTTTAAATCTCATTTGTATAAGACCGTCTCACGAATTAAAATCTATAAAATGAATGGTATATAAGATAGTTACTTGTTACTTATTATAGAAATCTTAACACTTATTATTAAAAAAAAAAATACCAATTTAAAATAAATAAAATTGTACTTATAATTTAAATACAAATTGTTCATTAAAATTAATATATAAATTTTAAAAATATAATTATCAAGTATAAAAATAATACAAACTTTATTTGTAAATTGTAAATAAATGAAGTCAACATAAATGGAGAAAACCAAAGACTAAGGAACGGTAAGAATTATTTACCGACAGTCAAAACAGTCGCGAGAAATTATAGAGCTTTTCATAGCGCTCCGAATTCTCAGCCAATTCTCTCTCTCTCTCTCTCTATATCGTTGTCTGTATGTAAAAATTCTATCTGACCTTTTTCGTCTTTTACCCTTTCCGATAATTTCTCGGCAGCTTCCTATTCGTTACACCGGGGTCCTTCTTATTCTTTTACCCTGTCCCACAAGTGAATTGACTGTAATACCCTCGATTCCTCCTTTATATTCCCCGCTCCCCTATCCTCTGTAGCTCATTCCCATTTCTCTTCACAACTGTGATTACACTATCCTCTCCGGACATGGCAAAACTTCTGATCCTTTCCCTCTTTGTCCTCGCCGCCGTCTCGGCGGCGGCGGCGGACATGTCGATCATAACCTACGACGAGGAGCATCCGGCGAAAGGCCTGAGCCGGACCGACGAGGAGGTCATGGCGTTGTACGAGTCGTGGCTAGTGGAGCACGGCAAATCGTACAACGGCCTCGGCGGAGAGAAGGATAAGAGGTTTGAGATCTTCAAGGATAACCTCAGGTACATCGACGAGCAGAACAGCCGGGAAGACCGGGCCTACAAGCTCGGGCTGAACCGATTCGCTGATCTCACCAACGAGGAGTACCGGTCAACGTACCTCGGCGCCAAGACCGATGCTCGCCGGAGAATCGCTAAGACGAAGAGCGATCGGCGGTATGCTCCCAAGGTCGGCGGCAGCTTGCCGGACTCCATTGACTGGAGAGAGAAAGGTGCCGTCGCCGAAGTCAAAGATCAAGGAAGCTGTGGTATGCCTTCTCTTCTCCTTTCTCTCATTTTTCTAGTATATTTTATCTAATATTATAATTATTTATTTATTCTAGTAATTTAATAAAATATACTTGTGCATACTACCTGGTGCTCGTTGGTTGGACCAAATCCGTAGATGTAGTGGCAAGTTGATCTTCTATTAGCTTTTGGAGTATAAAATTGAACTAAAAATGGATTAATATTATCTTCAACTTGCTAATACTGTAAGGTTAAAATTTTCAAAAGGAACAGATGAGATCTCAGCCGGGTTAGAGAAAAAGTGAATTACGCTTAAGAAGTTATAGGATCAATTTATGAGGATTTCGATGATTCGATAAGAAAAACTGTTATTCTGTATATTTATATTTGCATTTATATTTTGATTTTGTTCCAGGTGCTTATAATAACCTTATTAGGTGATGCGTTACTATTCCCAATAAAAGATATTTTTTTTTTGCCTTATTAAATATTATTATTATCATAACGGATGATGAGTAGGTGTAGGTCCATGGTAAACAAAAAGATGTTAGGGTAAGTCTTGTTCTAGCGGCAGCGTTTCTAGGATCATTGGAGAATTTGACCGAGTAGATGAGATGAAATCCCGGCCTGTAGTGTACAGGCCGTGGTGGGATCATGGGAACTGATGGGGGACTCACGGGTTCTTGAGACTTAGGATTAGTCTAGTTAAGTTGGGATACTTAATGTATAAAAAAATGTTAAGTGTATTAAATATGGAGTACCTTTATCTGTAGAAGAGGGAAGGAATCTTATCATGTAAAAAGTAGTGCCCGCCCACCATTCTTTGTTCTTACTTTGTATGGACCTTGTGCTTTCCTGTTTGTGGCCTTTTTGGCACAACCCAGAATACCAAGATCGAAAACAGAAGTTTATGCAGTAAAATAAGTAAAAAGGAAGTGAAAACTTCTACTTGCAGACTTGTAGTTGATTGGTGGGGTGCAATTTGATTACTTTGGATGTTGTCATTTATGGTTTATGTGCATTAATTGATTTGACATTGAATAGGGAGTTGCTGGGCATTCTCAACCATTGTTGCCGTGGAAGGTATAAACCAGATCGTGACTGGTGAATTGATCTCATTGTCTGAACAGGAGCTTGTGGATTGTGATACATCATATAACGAAGGCTGCAATGGTGGTCTAATGGACTATGCCTTCGAGTTCATCATCAAGAACGGTGGTATTGATACTGAGGCAGATTACCCCTACACTGGTAGGGATGGAAGGTGTGATCAAACAAGGGTCAGTAATCACATCTTGCACTGTTTATCAGGAAAAAAAACTATGGTAAAATAAATGAATTGCTATTAAAAATTCCTAACGTCTTTAATTCTGTAATTTCTCCCTGCAGAAAAATGCTAAGGTCGTTTCTATTAATGGGTATGAGGATGTTACTCCTTATGATGAGAGTGCACTAAAAGAGGCAGTTGCAGGCCAGCCAGTTAGTGTTGCCATTGAAGCTGGTGGCAGAGACTTCCAACTCTATACATCGGTAATATTGCACTTCATACATTACAGAAAACTGCATATGGGACCTTATATATAAGGCTAATTTTTTAAAACAAATGGATAACCATTTCACCCTTTGCTATAGAGTAGCATGATCAAAATTTATGAAGTAATGTGCCAGTTTTTTGTCCAGTGTTCTAATTTGTGAACAGATAATCTTTCTAATGACGACTCTTTCTCATTGATACATTCACTAAAATGAAAAAACCCTACATTAGTTCTCTTTCTACTTTGAATGGTCTGTTTGGAGTAGCTGATTGATGTTAAGTTTGATTCCAGGGTATATTTACTGGATCATGTGGAACAGACCTGGACCACGGTGTGGCTGCTGTTGGATATGGTACAGAAAGCGGCGTAGATTATTGGATTGTTAAGAACTCATGGGGTGCATCCTGGGGAGAGAAAGGCTATGTGAGGATGCAGCGCAACGTGAAAGACTCAAATGGTTTGTGTGGTATCGCGATAGAGCCTTCTTACCCGACCAAGACAGGTGAAAATCCACCCAACCCCGGTCCATCTCCTCCATCTCCAGTCAGTCCCCCCAACATGTGTGATAACTTCAACGAGTGCCCTACTAGCACCACCTGCTGCTGTGTCTTCCCGTATGGTAACTACTGCTTTGCATGGGGATGCTGCCCTCTAGAAAGCGCGGTTTGCTGTGATGACCACTACAGTTGCTGCCCTCACGACTACCCTGTATGCCATGTCAGACAAGGCACCTGCACAGTGGTAAGTACACCAACTTCAACAAAGCACATAACACATTTGTTATTTGTTATCTTTTGTTGCTAATCTGTAGCACATTCGATTGATGCAGAGCAAGGATAGTCCATTTGGAGTGAAGGCTATGAGACGCACCCCTGCCAAGAAGATTAGAAACAACGGCAGCAGTTCTTGAATACTCCTCGAGTTCTCAGCAGTGGAATGACAAAGGCAAAAGTGCCCCAGGCGTAAAGGGTTTAAGTACCTTTCTCCTAGGCGCACTGAACCGCAGAAGTCGTTTCATTCAGAGATAAATGTGCCCTGATTCAAGGGGTTGCATTGATACTGATCTTTTGTATATACTGTGCTATTTATTCCTGGCATTGGATTAAAAACGAAAACCAAAAAGACAGATTTATTGTTTAGCATTGTCTGATTATGCACATAGGCTTGTCATTCTGCAACGCTGCTGCTTTCTTCTTTATGTGTACTGCACTTTCATCTACTAATAATAGCAAGAACTTTTCAATTCTCTAAGCATTTCTACTATATGCTCTTTTGTTGTTGTTGTTGTGTATTGGGTGTATACTTGCCTAGTTGCTTATAATACTGGGTCAAACTAATAAGGGGATCGAATTGTAAATTTTGTAGTTATCAAATTAACAAGTCAATCAACTGGTTGGAGTTTTTCTCAAGATATGTTCTTAATTCTTTAGTATCTACATCTAATGTTAGATGAAATTAAAGTAAACTTTTTGCTTAAGGGATTCAGGTTCTTTGTATATGAGTCAGTGGCTTTTAGTGTGTTTTGACTTTTGAGCTTTGAATTAGGTGGTGATTATTATTAGCAGGATAGAACAAGAAATAGCAGCAGACAAATTATATTCCATCAACCAATAATTTAGGTAATTAGGTATTCAATTGTTGTCTGGTTTGTTTTTTATTCTTTAATTTCGTTAATTATTTGAGGCGGATGATAATTTAAGATTATGCACCTCTACCTAACTGTTATGAATCATGAATAAAAAGAAGTAATAAAAGGGGTGATTGAGTCAGTATAATATGGTTCTCATATATAGAAAATAAGGAGTTCGATTCTAACCAAAGATTTTTTCGGATGAGCTTGTTGTTCAATATTTTTTTAATATAATTTATCTTTTTAATGTATAATTTGTAAATTATTACACAAATAAAATTTAGATAACATATACCATCAAATAATAATTCAAGTCTCCTCTCCATCAAAGAAAACAAGAAAGAGATATTTTTGCAGATATACTCGATGATTCCAATGAACTATACATTCATTCCCTTGGGACAAATTATGTCAGGGAAACGTGTTCACCATGCGCATGGTGAACACAGAGGTAGATCCATAATTTTTATACTGTAAATTCATAATTTTGTTCTTCGTTTGTTGTTAACGGCGTTTCTCTCTTTGCAATCGCGTTATTTCGTCTTCGCAGTACAAAAATTATGAATCTACAATACAAAAATTATGAATCTACAATATAAAAAAAAATTATGAATCAACAATATAAAAATTATGAATTTACCCCGTGTTTACCATGCGCATGGTGAACACGATTCCACAGCAACGTTCCTTCCCTTGGGGTAGTATTGGACCCAGGCCCAACTTTGAAGCTTAGTCTTGCAAGGAATGTAAAATGAGTAAGGTTGGGCCTAGGTCATCACAGCAAGATGAGTAACACTATATCAAGAGTTACCTCTACTACTATCTAAACAATTGTTATACCATTAACCTCGGAACGTTATGCTGTGCATCATGGTGCATACGGATGCAAAAACGACGTCATTTTGGCATCTAACTTAATAAATAAAAAAAATCAGAATTGCATAACTACACATCAATAATTTCACTACACTTCCGGAATTGCATAATTATACATCCAGAATTGCATAACTACACTTCCAGAATTGCATAACTATAATTCCAGAATTGCATAACTACACATCCATAACTTCATAACTACATATCCATAATTGCATAACTACACTTCCAGAATTTCATAACTAAAAAATCCAAAATTAATGAACTAAAAATGAATAACATAATGTTGTTGATGAGAATCGAAACTGATTTTTTTTTTTTTAAAGTAGGGCGCGCGTTTTATGCAAAATGACGTCGTTTTTGCATCCGTATGCACCATGCAGGATGCATACGGATGCACCGCATAATTTGCCATTAACCTCATCTTGCATTGTGCTGGTCAAAAAATTATGTATATGTAGTTAATGTATTTTGTATATGTAATTAATCATTTTTGTACCTATAAATAAATTGAAGACACGTAACATGTTTGTTAAGAATAAATTGTAATTAAATTTTGATGAGCCCTGGTGACCTGGTCTTTGAAGATTATTTTGGACCAGGGGTCCACAATGCAAGGTAAACATTGGTCCATGGTATAATTTGCCCTATCTAAACTAGTTCATGAGAAGTTTGGCAAACTATACTTGCAAGATAAATATGATAAATGTTCATTTTTAATATATTAAAAGTTTATTCTTTTTATGTATTGAAGGTGTATTTTTAAGTAATATACTAAAAATGAACCTTAAGTATGTTAAAAATTGTTAGGATCAAACGTTTACTATTACGCCAAAAGCTATAGCTCATAGCGAAGACGTACCTTTATTTCCTTATACCACCACATTTTTGAGAGGTAGAGTGCTGGACTTGACCCTTCACTGGCATCCGTTCAATAATCCCCGTAGCTACCAATTATTGGACTAGCAAGTATTGGGGGGAATTGTTGGGCAGGGGTTGGTGAAGGGCCAAGTCTAGCACAAAGTGGTTAGGAGGATTGTTGGGTGGAGGCTTGAAAGACCAAGTGCAGCATTTTGCCTTAAAAAATGTAGCTGTATATAAAAAATAAAGTTACGCATTCGCTACTAGTTATAACTTTTAAAATAGTGGTAAGCGTTTGATCCTAATAAAGAAGGTTCACCTTCATTACTTTTACATGCAATTTCTTTGCTGCAAATCCTCTAATTCTGTATCACCTAAAAATAGTTGAAAATCTAGAGCTCTAACAAAAAATGTTGGAAATCGAGAGTTCTAGCCGGAAGCAACATTTAAAAAAAAAATCACTTTTAGAATTGATTTTGAATATTACCAATAATCAATCAAAGTGATTGGTAATATTCACCATTTTTTTTTTCTGATGGTTGAAAATTTTGGTCAGTTAAATCATTGGCATTAATCTTCATTTTTTAAAAATTAATGGTGATTGAAAACATAAAGTTAACAAAAATAGCCATGGTTGGTGAAAATTTTTCTAACCGTTGCGGTGAAATTCTTTATGTCAAAAGGAAAAAATTAGTAAGATTTCTTGAAGTTGTGTTTTCAATTGTGTGTTTCCGACTTCTCGGAATCTTTTCCTTCGTTGCTTTTTTTAGGGCCAAAAATTGTAGATTGCATTAAGATGACACAACATTCTAAAATGGAGGAGGAACATCCCTCCAGACAGACCGTGCTGACACCACACTTACATATTTAGCTAAAATATGAGCTGCCGAATTAACATTTCTCTGCTATCTTTTTCCTTCATTCCTAATCTAGCTTTATGAGAACATTTATTTCCTAAAAAACCATACACGCTAAAAATATCAACATATATGTTATGTCAACTGCCATTCTATCGCCAATTTTTTCAATGGATGTGAATATACACTTATTAAATCTAAATTATCAATTATATGTGACAAGATATTTAATTTTCTATAACCAATAAAATTATGTCCAAGTATTTTAAAGGAATAAGAGCATATATCAATTCAAGATAAGACACTTTTCTATTAATAGTACAAAGTAATAATTGTCTTGAATTGGCCTTGGTCTACATAACTATTGTATCGTGGGGTTTGTGGAAACATAACTTATGAAACTTTTTTTTTCTTTTAATTTTTTTTAATTTTCTTGAATAATTCATGAAAAGATAAATCAAGTCTAAATTGTATATTCTACGCATAAAAAAATTTCAATCAAAATCGAAACTCCCAATGTTCAAAGCAAGTGAGTCGCAACCTTATCGCTAAAAGTAAATCTTAATTCCTAAGTAAGACTTGTTATCTACTGAATTAATACCCACTGATATCTTTTAAAATTTAACTTCTTCATTTAGAAAGTTTATTAGTGGTAGTTAGTTGCAAGGAAATGGTTGACTGGTAGGGATTCCATTGACAATGTGTTCCATTCATTTATCGCAAACTTTAAATGGAAAATTGAGAATGGCAGATATGTATTAAGTAAGAGATACATCTATTTCAACCACAACTATGAGAAAAACTTAGCCCCATGTCATCACATTGTCCTGCCTTTTTTTTTTTTTTTTTTTTTTTAGCCTAATTAAAAGTTTATAATTTAAATATCTAAAAGGTCCTTGTTGGTAGGTCTAAAGAAGACTTTTCGATATTTGGGAATTTATACATTATTTACAAAAGGTGAAATTTTTTGCTGAAGTGCCTTGGTGCCCATAAAGAGTTCACCACATTGGATGTATTTCACACAATAAGACTGTTAGGTCTCGAGTGTCTGGTGCCCACAAGAAGCTCACCACATTGAATGTATTTTCCACACTAAGACCGTTAGGTCTCGAGTGTCTGGTGCCCACAAGAAGCTCACCACATTGGATGTATTTTCCACACTAAGACCTTTAGATCTGGATCTTACATACTGAAGACCAAAGGATTAATATCCCACCATCAGAGTTTGATCATGTGATCTTCCTTCAAGGGAACCACAGAAGTGTCTTCTAAGCAGAAGGTGCTTGGTGATAAACTTTAATCTCTTTTTAAGTCAAAAGTATAGATGGTTTGTGCTCCTAGAATCAATTATTCGATCTTACCAAGTCAAAAAGCATTACCCTCATCTTTCACATGCCGCCACTACTACAACTTGTTGGTACAATTCAAGAATTGCCCATTTTTCTTCAGTTGACTAAACGTGTTTTACAACACGGTCTTTGTCCTTATTTTGCTGGCAAATAGGCTTCAAGTCAACTCTTACACATGGAAGAATTGCTCCATCTTGGCTTCATTTCTTTAAATTCTCTAACCTAATTTCATATTTTGTGCAATAGATACACCATGGGTGCTGTTCCTTATACACCAATCCCTGCAAACCAAACCGGTATGTATGCGCTTTACCATCTTCGTTTTTGGTTTGATTTCAATTATTTTTGAACTATGAAATCGTGCATTAATCCCGATTTGAATTAAACCTTTTATCATCTTTGATTTCGATTATTTTTGTATACAGGTAGTTCTGGGGAGAGTTTGGATTGCAGTGTGAAGCCTCCTGAGGTACCATTATATACAACCCCAAATTCTACCATTTCCACTGTGTTACCCTACAATGGCGTACACCCTTCTCCGGCAGCTTCTTATCAGCCGGCCGCCGCCGCCGCCACCTACCCTGCGCCGGCTGCTGCCACGGCCTTTCCTCCTCTTGGCAGTCCTGCAGTCCCAAGTTCTTATCCTCCCAATCCTAATTCTAATCCTAATCCACCAAGTCAAACGCCATTTCTTTTCTTTTCAAGTTTAGCAGCTCCGGTTCCATATCCTCCTCCGGCGGCGGCGGCGGCTTCGTCTGCTTCGGTTCCTTGCCCCACCTACTCTTCTAACTCCGAGCCATATGTGCCTGCCCCTTATCCCCCGCAAACTCACTCATCTTGTTATCCTCCCTACCCGTATGCCCCACCTGGCGCCGCCTACCCGCCACCACCCGCCGCCGCCCCTGCCGGTGGTTATCCTCCACAACCTCCTCCTCACGCCCCCGGTGTCTATCCCCCAGGTACATCCCTTTTTGTAGTTTATAAGAACATTGACACAAACGTTAAAGAATGGGTATTTTTTTTGTTTGTTGAGTGAAAAATGAAACCTGTAATCACTGTTCAAAAATTTACATTAATCAATTTAGAATGTTCATAGTTTGTTATGATTATCAAGCTGATAATTTGCTCGATCATAGATTAATGTTATTGTTGTTATTCTGGTAACAAGATTAATACACTTTGGTCAAATGACCATATACCAATTTAGGATGTTCATAACTGTTCAGCTTAAATTAAGAAGGTTAGAAGTAGAACTTGTAATCTTGTGATTATGCAGCTGACAGTTTGCTCGGTCATAGATTAATGTTGTTGTTGTGGTAACATGATTAATATGTTATTGATTAACGTCATTTACAGTTTGGTTGAGTGGAAGTCCATGGCCGCCGCCCCAGACGACAAACGAACATTACCAAAACCCTCCTCCATCCTTGGGTGTGTATCCACCGCCGCCAGCTGCCGGTGCTTATCCGCCTCCCCACTACTAAGCCCCGATTTTGAACCCAAATAAATCTGCGTGCCAAAGCATACAAATAAACTGATTGTGATAAACTGAGCATTAGATTTGTGATTATTTCTTTTCTTTTTGTATCAAAAACATCTTTGACCATATTTGGTCCAAGAATTTGGAATCCTTGTACAAAGTGAATGAAGTAAAACTCTCTCCATTCAAGATTCAATAGTAACTATATTCTTGATTGATCAAAATGGATTAAATCAGACATATGGTGTCTGGAAATCAAGAATGGGGGAGGGACAGGAAATCATTTCCCTGAACAATGTGACAGCCCCCTCAGTCTTAGCAAGTTTGTGGGCAACCTTATTACTAACCCTACTAATAAACTGGATCCTACAGCCTTGAATAGAATTAAAAAGACGAGTACAATCAAAGAGAATTGAGCCCATATGAGACCGGGGTAACGAATGACTATATAAAAAGGAACAAATAACTAAACTGTCTAATTCTACTTGAACCTGCTCCAAGTTGCGTCTCTTGATCCATGATAGAGCTTCCCGAATCACCATTGCTCCGCTACTGTTTTGGTCTCCATGCAAGCCGGCATCCACCTTGCATATCCAAGCCTGCTGTAAAAGTTGTTGTGTGCGTGGCAGGTTGATGGCACTCCAAGAACTTCAGCTGGGCGTAGCATTTTGCGTGACTAACATGGGAGAAGGAACATAACCGTCCCAGACAGCATGATTTTCTGGCTTGCCATAATTCATGAAGAAACCCACACAATTTGGCTGCTATCATGGAAAAGCTATCTGCAATACAACAAAGCCAATCTTCCACCCACTGCATGAAGGATTTACCACTGGGGTCCAGGATGGGCAGCTGTGAAATATTCCATACTTGTTTTGCAAAGTCACATAAGCATAGGATATGCATGACGTCCTCCTCATAAATACCACAAACAGATTGGACATTCCACAGGAACATCAACTCTCCTTTGTTTCAAGTTCATAGTTGTAGGTAACGTGCCTGATAGAGCCCTCCACAACATTTTCCATTTAAGGGGGGCCTGGAGGTTCCACAGTTTGTTACAAACATTGGAACCAACCGTTGGAATCTCTCTGAGCCTCCTATAACCATCCTTCACTGTGTAGTTGCCTCTAATGTCTCCACACCAATACCAAATATCCTGCAAATCTAGACTCACTAGGGTTTTAAGAATTAAGTTAGTGTCCCGTTCCACAAAGTGTTGCTGGATTAGGGACACATTCCAATCCTGGATATGTGTATATGATTCAGTGCTTTTTTGGATGTGGTTTTACACAGTCCACTGGAACTAGAAATGTTAGAATTAAGAATTTTCATGGTAAAAACATTTCACAATTAACAAATAACAGATGCTACAAATGAGAACCAAAAAAACAATTTCACAGTTGGAAGTTCATGAAAGAACAAGATTCAGCATAACTATGTTAAATGTTCATGAACAAAGGCTCTGTAAATCTGTAATGATGGTGAAAATACATACATACATAAATCTAAACTGAATAACATGCCAAGTTGCCAACCAACCCGAAAAATCGACTCTTCCTTCTCCTCCTGTTGTGTTACCAACCAAAGAGAATTTCCACACAATGAACATTGGATCCTTTTATCAAAGGACTTTTCATAGACCCTCGCCCTGTAATGGGAAGCAATTAAAAGACAAATAGAGGCTGGTGTAGCCTACCAAATGATCAACCTCATTTTGAAACCATTCAACCCAGACTTCACTCTTTCATCAAGCACTCATTTTGAAACCATTAAACCCAGACTTCACTCTTTCATCGTGCACTTCTATAATTGTCTTGGTAGCCGGTCACCTGAATTGAGTACGAAATATAAGTTCACTAGGGGAGTAAGAACTTGGAAATAATAAGCAAAAATTATGTAGCTTACTACTTACAATCGCTAGAAGCATGCATGTCCTGGTGTGTTTGACTAGGTATGCCATAATGTGGGTGGCACCATGAACATTTTATCCTTTGTGGATGCAAAATAATGATTGAAAAGCCGCACCGAAAACCACTCTTGATTCTCTCGAATCAAAATAGATACTCTGAGATGACTCCACTACTCTGAGATGACTCCACCAAGCGAATTCGTAATAAGTAGTTTCTCGAATGAAATAGAAAACTAGTAAGAACTTCTGCCCACTTAAAAGATAAGCATTGGTTTACTTAAAAGATAAGCATTGGTTTAGTGGATATGTTATCGAATCAGATGGGTGGAAATTCTAAGGTTCTTAATCGTGGAGATGTAATGTATGGAAGGGAAAGGGCAAAAAAGAAGCATACAAAGGTGAAATGCAGAGACAAAAATAAAAATTAACTAAAAGGCAGAATGGTGGGAACAGGTCAAGAATGCTCTTCTTTCTTGCTTCATATCAATCAGTTCCTTCTCGGCTTCTCTAGTTATTCCTGGAACTCCCACCAAAGCTTGACCACCTTCTGAATGTACACGCAACTAAATTTCTCCCCGTTAGAAGTCCCAGCCTCGCCCTCAACGAATTTGACCTCCTTGTATTGTTCGAAGCAATATTAGCAGCACCACCACCACCACCAACTTGGCCACCCACCTGCTGGTTCTCTTGACCAGCTTCAGACACACCGTCATCACTAGCAGCCCCATCGGGATTCTCCACCTCAACCGTATCCAAATTCACAGCAAGCGAACCCCTACTAGCCCTCAACCGATCCGCAGCCTCAGAAGTCACCAGCCTGCATTTCTTAACCTTCACTTTGATCAAACTCGGGCACCCGCTAGCAAGTGCTTCCATTCCCAAGTTTGATATGGGGCAACTCTTTATACAAAGCTTCTTCAATGCAACACATTTCTCAGCAATGCAGGAGAGCTCGGGATCCCCCACAGTCTCACTCCCACAGAGAGCTAATCTTTCTAAATTTGGACAATTCGTAGCGAGTTTCTCTAAACTAACGAGCGTCGGATTAACCCCAATCAAAACCAGTTCTTGTAAATTTGGGCAGTGATTTGCCACAGCAAGCAACCCTTCATCGCTTATCCTATTCGTTTTCCACCCATCAATGTGGAGTTTCCGGAGGAGTTTACAGTGTTCAGCAACATTTTTCAACCCAACATTTGTGCATTCGGGAGTTTTTACCAGATGCAAAATCTCAAGATTTGAACAATTCGAAATTGCAGCAAGACCAGCGTCACTAACCTGAAGCCTCTCGACATGAACCTCAACTAGGCCGCTGATTTGATCGGAAATGGCTTCCAGAATCTTATCCCAATCACCAGAACACCTTAAGAGCTTTAGAGTCTTCAAATTCTTCGATCCAGTAATTAACGGTCCGAAACACTGTCCATTGTAAAGCTCCTTTAAGCAAATAACTCTGAGCGATCCGGCAGCCACGCCGGGGCCAATTGGATCGGCCATAGCACCGTTTGCAATACCGCGCAGCCGTTTGACTGATAATTCCTCGAGGGACGAGCAGTTATCGAATACGGCGTTCATGCCTTTAGCTCCAAAACTGCAGGATCCACAGGAAAGCTTCTTCAAAACGTTGCAGTTCTTCGCAAAAGCTTCTATCCCGGCGTCGGTAAGGTCCCGGCATGCCCGTAGCTTTAACCTAGTGAGATTCCGGCATCGAAGCGAAATAAGAACCAACGCTTCGTCACCGATACTCACAGATCTGCGGTCGCATTTCAACGCGAGCTTCGTGACCGAATCGAATCGCGAAAAAATTGAAGGAATCTCCGTGGCGAGCTCTGTCTGGGCACGCAGCGAGAGACGGTGCCGGCTCTGACCTTCGATCTGGAACCACCGACGGCACACGAGGGAACACCGCTTACGGTCGCCGGAGTTAAGAGACTGGAAAATGATAGCCAAACACTCATCGGGAATGTTAAATGAATAATCGGATAAGTCCTCGCCTATAACGTCGTCGGATTTTTCAGTGCCCTGCATCGGCATAACCATAGCAGTAAAGCCGGATTTTTTCCGGTGGTTGTGATTTTGAGCTCCGGCGGCTGTGGAAGCAAATTGGCCCATCCACAGCAGACCATAAGAAAAACGATGGACAGCCGATTTTTTGTTGTTTTGCTCAACTACCTAATTTCCTTTTGAAGACAAAATTAAAAAAAAAAATTTGAAAATATGAAGGGTTCAATCATTTAAGGTAAAATGGTCAAATATGTTTTCAAATTTTATCTAAAAATTAATTAGATGTTTAAACTTTTTAAAGTTGTAATTAAATTTATTAACATTTTATTTTAGTGCAATGAAATTCAAAAATAGATTAGCGACATGTGATAGTTGGTCATTAGAGTTCTAACATCATTTCATACCAAAAATCGATCGCCGGAGACTAACCGCCAGTTGCCTAGAAAAACGAGCGCTTTTTTTCGGCGATCATTTGTGATCACCTCTCAGAAGAAAGTAACCAGTTCTAGTCGGCCAGAGAAGGTAACTAAGTTTTGGTCACCTCTCTGAAGAAAGACGACCATAACGGAGAAAGCGACTAGTTTTGGTTGCCTCTCCTCAAAAAGATGACCAGTTTTGATTGCTTCTCTTTGAAAAGACGACTAGTTATAGTCACCTCTCTCTATGAAGGCGTTTCCTTCTCTAGAAAGCGAAATAGAAATGGTCGCTAGAGAAGGTGACCATCGATCGGTAATCGATTTTTTGTTAAAAATAATGTTAGAACCTTAGTGATTTGCATCACAGGCCACTAACCGATTTTGGATTTTATTGAACCAAAATAAAATGTTAATGATTTTAGTTGTAACTTTAAAAAGTTTAGACACCTAATTAACTTTTTAAAGTAAAGTTTGATAGCATATTTGATATTTTCTAAAAAAAAATCCAAAAAAGTTTTTGTGCGGGGCCTACTTCTACCTTCTCTTCGTTACTTCAGTTCATTCGCTCCAGAATCCCCATCAATGGCTGCTCCGTTGCCCCTCGGAGGTCTACCGCTCCACCGCCTTCACTACCATCGGCAACCGCAGCACCACCTTCTCACCTCCGGTCTACTCAATCGTCGACTACGGTGCAACGACACCTCCGAGTCAATTAAGTCAGACGCGGACGCAGCTTCTGTGAGCCAGAGCCAGACCGCCGCCGTATTCAGCGCCAAAGGTCCGCCGCCGTATCTGAGACGGTTCAGCGCGGATTACCGGAAATGGAAGGCGAAAGAATTGGAGATACTCAGAGACATCGAACCGGTCATTTTGCTCACCAAAGAAATTCTTCACTCAGATAGGTTTCTCCAAATCTCCCTCCCTTTTTCAATTCAACATTTATTGAAAAACTACTGCCAACATAGCTAAGGCCTAAGGATTCGTTGAACTCCTATAAGATTATAATGCTCTTGATATGGTACTAAATTTTAGTGAAGGACATGAAGAAAAACATGTTTATATCCAATGCATTGTACACCAGTTCTATTTTACATCTTATATTGTGAATCATAGCAGTCTAGCAGCAAGTTGTCATTTAATTGGAAAGCATACTGCTCAGTTTTGATGCATGAATCTGATTGAATCCTAAGAGTTAATAAATGATTTTAGATTTACTTCAGACTGGGATTGCATTGCCATGCTTGAAACATTAAAGCCTCTTTATCATGGATATGGATTCATTTACCTCAAGAGTTAATGGCTCCAAGCACGTTGTTTCTGACATACCTTGAATGTGCACATAATGAACTCATAATGAAAAGACGGAACCTGTCAGGTTATTTGCAGGTCTAATCTTTGTGATATATACAGATTACATTTCTGTCATAGTTAATCGGATGATATAGGCCATAATCGTCTTATAAATGCATATACATTAAGGCAGGACGATTATATTCTACTGAATTCAACCCTGGAGTGCTTAGTGTTCCCTTATGGCATTGGATGACTGTGAGGCGGGTAGTCAAATTGGAGAAGAAGAAGAAAATTAACAGTGTAATTGGATAAAGGGATTTCATTTTACTAATCAAGGAATTTTCTTGCCTTGTAGTTTGGATAATTAAAAGTTTACCTTCCCTTGCATAAACAAAGACTTCAGATACTTAAAATATTTTACACTCCATAGTTATCAATAATTGTTTCCGTTGACTTCACCAATGCTTAGTTTATAGTAACATTACAAGTGAAAGAAAATTCAGGATGCTTTTGCTAATATACTGCTAATTTGTTGAAATAATAATTAAATAGCATATACTCTTCAATAATAGACTTAAAAATACAAGGTCAATTTTGTCAACAGTCCAAGCCTATACATTTCCAAGAACATCCTTTTGCTGTATTACAATGTGGAACTCAAAGGTGCCTAATATACTATGAACACAAAATGGCAACTATCATGCATCAGCAGTGGGTTCAAAAAATGATTTTTAATGAGTTGATTTAACTAACAGTAACAATCAGTGCCCTGGTTGATTTAATGGTAATACATTGAATGCATGGTTTCCTTCTTGGAAACAGTTCTAGGTTTGGAGTGAATTGAATTCTATCATCCGTGACCTTGACTTGTATTGTGTGTGTCTGATTGACCCAACAAGCCTTAAAATTTTGTGTGCTCAGGAGTAAATAGCAAGCCCCTTTAACCTATGGAATGTGGATTCCTCATGGATGAAAATCTGTGTTCAGACTCAGAAAGACCCTCAGTTTATTTTTGCAGAAAATAGTTTTGCCCCTTATTTTTATGCGCACACTGTATATTAGTTATGTAAAGTTAATAAACTCTTGTCAAAGTTAAATTAAAGTGATAAAGATCAGTGTTACGTCTTTTGTTAAGTCATGTAGCTCAGGAAAAGTGTGATGTAATGAAACTTTTCCCTAAGTTAAGGAACTTAAATTTGAAATTTGTTTGTCTTCTTTGAAGTAAAATTTGTTAAATTGGTTTTATTCAGTGGTCACCCACACACCAGACACACAAATACTGCACTCATTTGTCCAGCATTATTTTTGTCTGTTAATTCCAGTAAACCATGGATGTCGTAGTGGAATTTCCTGCATTATACTTCTCTCACAGTTCTGATAAAAAGAACTAGTGTCTCAATTGATTTAGAAGTCAAGGGGCCAATTGAAAACTGTTTCTCTTTCCTGCTTGCAGGAAGTGAAAACTTGTTTGGCTTGATGCTTCTATTTCAAGCTACCAATTGAGGACAAAATCCTTCTTCATTTTTCTTATTGTCTATAATGGAGAAAACAAAAAAAATGCTTTAAATTACAATGATGCTTCAATTTTCCTCTTCAATGTCAACCTTAGACTGTAGTTTGCTTCTTTCTTTGTCTCTGTCCTTTTTATTTGTTAGTCATATGAAATGATAATTTCTTAATAGCACACCTACAAGTTCGTAGTAGAATTTCTGAATTTCATCATAGGCATTCTCCTCTCATTTGGACTATTCTTTGCATCTTAAATTTATGGAAGGTTGACATCTTATTGATATGTGCAATTTGTCAACAATTGTTTACTTAAATCATGTTTTGTTTCAAGAGAGATTATTATTATCAATAAATCATGATCACCTATTTGTATTATGTGATAGGTACATGGATGGAGAACTTTTGACAGCTGAAGATGTGAAAATTGTGGTAGAGAAGCTTCTTGCTTATCATCCTCGTTTTGAAGATAAAATTGGGTGTGGCCTTGATTCAATTATGGTCAGTTTCATGCGTTGTGATAGTATTTCTTGTTCCTTGTCAAACTACTACTATTCACTTGCAAGTTTGGTGCTTCTAATATAAGCATCACAACTAAATTGGAATGATATTTATCAAGTAAACTTAAGTCACTGTTTTGACATCTTTCTGACTTGCAGTTTCCTTTTTGCTTTCTTATTTTTGACAATTTCAAAATTCTTTTATCTCATTGAAATGACAAACAAACTCCTGATTTCCTCCTCTTTATACTTGTTAAAATGATTAGGCTTGAGATTCCTTATTACAGTTTGTATGTCATCAAGGCATTTGATAACTTTAAATTGTATGTGGCTTCATTTATCAGAAATATTATCACTTTGTACAAAAATCCCAATGATTACATCATAAAAGTTTGCTCAAGCCCTTTTTTTTAAATAACCATTCTAACTAACCTAATTACTATGAGGTTTCTCCTTGCATTTTAGACCTGCAGTTCTATAGATGAGATTGGCCTTATTTGTATTTTTTAAAAATTCTGTTCTAGAACCCTGAATAAAATGTTGTATTTGTTTACCTCATTATTGAGAATAAACAACATATTATCTAGTACCTGTTGCTATTTTCATGACTGTTTTTTACAAACCAGATCTCATTAGTGGCTGAGTTCATCATTGATGCTATTTTTGTCCAACATATTTTTTTCCTTCAAATATTAATAGGACTAGTAGATATTCCGTGTTCAGACCCCTTGTAATTTGGAGTGATTTTTTTCACTTATTGTTCATTAGATAATCATATCAGATACTGATGAATATAAAAACAAAGAAAAAAAGAAGGAAAGATGAATTGATTCATGTAAAAAAGAATCCACCTTATGACTCCCTAGCGGGATTTGTTGATATTCTTAGGGACAAAGAGGTTGTGCTGTTCACATAATTGATTTGTATTCACTTTACTTAAAGATAAAAGATTGGAGCTGGGCTGGTTGTGATCATTTAGTTGACAGCGAATGAGCATACCTAAAATCTATAGCAAGTAGGCTTGTTCCTTGGTTAACTTTCCCGGGCTTGGGACTTAAATGCCTCTGAGCTGTAAGCTGCAACTAACTGAACTGAGCTGGAGCTAGAGGGTTTTGCTGAGTTGTCCATTGAGAGGGAGTTGGCCAACTCAGCTGTTGAATTGATATAATTAATATATCTTGAATTGTCACGTGATACTTTATCGTTGATATGAAACAATCTTGCAGTTTGATAATCTTTTATAGTGGTTGTGAATACTCTGTTTGTACCTTTAGTGGACTGAAAGAGATTTCTATAACTGTTTCCAGGTTGATCGGCATCCCCAATTCAAACACTCCAGGTGTCTCTTTGTCGTGAGAAAGGATGGCATATGGATAGATTTTTCGTACCAAAAGTGTCTACGACAATATATCCGAGATAAGTATCCTTTGCATGCAGAAAGATTCATAAAAGAACATTTCAAACTCGGTAGCTAAGGTTCCTCCTCATAAACTCCACCTGATTTACATCATCAAGTTTTACATTTCTGGCATATATTGCCTCTCCCCCCCATTGAATGAAAAAGCTCTATAGAGTCCAAGCTCCTTTTCATGGCTGTGTGTACAGAGGAAACTGGTCCCTGGATTCAATGACCAACATATACCCCCCGTGACACGCATTTCGTCAATGAGGTAGATATCTGTTGACCACCTAATTCACAGTGCTTGTTTAGTTTGATGATGGGACAAAAGCAGCGAATGATTGAAGTAAATGTTAATTAGTTGGAATGCGGAATTTTGACTGCATTTTCTTGTCTTTCTTTTGGCACACTTTACCTTGTCATGCATGCATTATGTTAGTCCTTCAGAATAGTGCAACATTCTGCAAAATGGGTTTCTGCATAATAGTGAGTCACACACAGAGTCATGACAGTGGGCTGATGGGGTCTTGGTTTAGGTGAGAGTCCTTGAAGAAGGTCACATCACTGTGAGACAATAGATTTGTTTTGCTTCAATTTCCTCAGAGACAGGGCGTCAAACCCACCCCCCCCCCCCCCCTCGCGTTGGTTGAAAACTAAGCTGTATACTACTATACTATAGCATTTGAGTTGGTGTGCATATCACTATGAGTTATTGCATATGTTACATCTGTCACATATTCACACTCATAGTATCTACTTTCTTGAATGAAATGTACTCCGTATCAGATTATGCAGTAGATCGAGTTGCATAAGTTTATGATTTTACTAACAGATTACAGGTATGGTCACTAATCTCATCAATTGTACCAAAAATGTACTAGGAGATTCCACTTACTTTGATTTATGAGAAAGCCAGCAATCTCTATCTGAAGGTGAAGTTTGGATGAAACCCGCATTGTGATCCTAACTGGCAAATAACCACAAAGAGATAAACTAGTTTAAGATGTTCATAGTTGACCGGTTTAAACCAAGAAAACTAATAGGTGACTCTCATTGAGAGTTGAACTTTACTTACTGAGACTTACTTAGGTATCACGGTATTGAGATAAAATAAATTTGTTGATCAAAAGAAAAATAAATAAATAAATAAATAAAAGAGGAAATACTCTTCAAAATCATTGGTGAGGTAAAAGAGATAGATATGAATATCATTATATTTAGGAAAAAATTTGTGCGGGACTGTCCCACGAACAATGATCGTGAGAATGGTTGGGTTAAGATGAAAATGCAATGCTTATATTGTAAAATGTAATACTAATTAGGAATAAAGTGTTTGTAATTTATAAGAGAAAATGTAATACTTTTACATTTTGATATAAAAGTATTACTTTGTACATTTTTCATCAAAAAAATTATATTTTTCCTTATAAGTAACAAATATTTTATATTTTTTAATAATATTATATATTTCAGTATAAATATTATATTTTCATATTGGCCCGACCCGTCTTACGAATATTTATCCATGAGACGGTTTCATGGGAGAGAGTCACTCTTTTATTTATTCTTATTGAATGGGAGAACTTAGGGGGCTAGGAGTGTGATATTTGTTATTATTAATTAATAATTAAAATATACAAGTGTGTAATTTTGCGTTACAAAGTAAAATATAATGGCATAAAATATTTAAGAAAACATGTGTATGGAGGGAGAATGAAAAGCTGCCGGTCAAGGGCAATCAAGAGTCAACTGTAGATAACATGAACGGAGTAGTAATTATGACGAATGTATAATTTGTAATTATAGAGGGTGCACGTTTGCTGAGATATAAATAGGTAAAGATTAACGTATAACCTTAATTAACATCATAATTATGAGAGGTTTAATCATCTGCTGCCCATAATCACATGACAAACACGATCATTGGACTCTAGACTATATGATTATCATGTGGGCCCTCGCCCACCGGAACCGGACCATTCATTTGATCCAGCTAAAAGGACATCCTCGCCCCCTACCTTTTCCTTTTCATAGGATAGGACATTGAAAATGAACACACTAATGTGTAATGGTTTGTGATTTATTACATATTATTAATAGTGTTTATTCAGTGCACACTTTTATAGTGGCTGCGAGTTTCTCTCATCGCATAAAAAACATTAAATCAAGTAAAAGGCGGACGCTGAGTTATTTAAATACTTCATATAAAGTTGAGAATTCGAGCTCATTTGTATCTAATAGTGTTCTTGGGACCAATAAATTACTCAATACTACCCTCTCAAACACATCTTTTGCCAATGTAGTCAAAAGACTATTTAAAAATAGTGCAATGAGATTGAATTGAACTTTTTAGAAATATATTATTTTTTGTATGAATAATTATTCTAGGATTTTAAAACATATTATATCCCTAGTGCTTTATAGTACCCTAACAAAATTGGACAACTTAAAACAAAGAAACAAAAGTGAGGCAAAGAAAAGAAAAGAAAGAAAAGGAGAAAAAGTATTTAATTTTATTTTTTTTTTGGGTTTATCTCAATTAAATTTATTGATTTTTTTTGAAAAGTATAATGATATTTACTTCTTTTTATTTAAAATAATAATTAGAGTGCAATTAATTAATTGATCAGGAATGCATCTGATTAAATGATACTCCGTAATAAAATGAGGACTAATAATTAAAAAAAGGGAAAATGACACTTTTTCCCCTAAGTTATATACTTATAGCACTTTTTCTCCCTCAATTATTTATGTAAGCACATTAGCCCCCTCAATTATTTTAAAAGTGGTGATTTTCCACCCTGATATATTAAATTGACATTTCTACCCTTAAAGTAAATATTTTATTTATTTTACTTTTCCAACAAATTATTGTGTATATGTAGCAATGACCACGGTTCGGTTCGAACTGAACCGGACACTATAGCAATCGAATTAAAAGTTTCCGGTTATAATTCAGATCTAGAATTCAATATTTAGATTTCAATTTATTAAATTTATGAACCAAAAAGAACTGGATCATGAACCGTGAACCGGCGGTTTCGGATCCGGTTCGTGATTTTGAACCGTCTTTATTTTAAATTTTATTTTATTTGTTATTTTAAAATAGTCTAAATTCAACAATAAATGTATTTTATTTTTTCAGTTCGGAACATGAACCGGCCATTTAGATTTGCGATTTTAATAAACTCTAAATATCGCGTTTTGATTCTAAATTGTAATTGGAATATTTAGGTTTGGTTGCTATAATATCTGTTTGGTTTGAACCAAATTATAGTAATAATTTGTTGGAGAAGAAAAATAAATGAAATATTTATTTTAAATATTTATTTTAAGGATAAATATGTCCATTTAACATTTTAGGGGGAAAAAGAGCCACTTAAATAATTCAGGAGGAAAAAGTGCTATAAGTATATAACTCAGGGGGAAAAAATGTCATTTTCCCTTAAAAAAACGATATGACTAAAGAACCTAAGTCACATGACTTAAGGTTTAAATTATAGGACTTTAATGTTAACTAGCTTGGCTTGTGCTCATTAATGCCATGCCTATAGGCACTCCCTCTTATAATTATTGGATAAGATATTGTATTTAGGCCGAAAGTTTTTTTTTTTTTTTTGGATGAACCTAATCATGTGTTGAACTTTGGCAAATTATTAGCCTACACAGCTGTGTGGACCACGGTTTAAAATGGCATAAAAAAAAAAGAATTTCTTACTTCGCGCACCTGTTAGAATAATGAACATTTTTGAGTAAAATAATGTATTTTATGAATTAAAGTAATGTATTTTATGTATTTTTAAATCTTGATCCACACAGCTATGTAGATCAGGGTGCAATAATGATCCTTTGAACTTAACAATATTTTGTAGTGACGTAAATCTTGAAACGAAATGAGTTGTGGACTCTGTGATGTTACCAATAGTCTTGAGTTGATCAATCAAGCCTACTATTGAAATCTTTGCGTCGAGCTTATTGAGTTTTGATCGGCAAATTATGCCGTGGAAACGTGTTCACCATGCTTGGTGAACACGGTCCCAAACGGCATTGTTTTTACCAAAAAAAAAAAAAAATAGTTAATGTGCTATTAACGGCATTTTGCATTCTATGTTCAAATTATGAATTTATATTAAATTATGAATTTTCTGTTATTAGATTATGAATTTACAGTTATGTAATTATGAATTTTTTGTACATATATAATCTCATAACAAAAAATTCATAATCTCATAATAGAAAATTCATAATTTCATAACAGAAAATTCATAATCTCATAATAGAAAATTCACAATTTCATAACAGAAAATTCATAATCTCATAAAAGAAAAACATTTATTAAATTATGAATTTTCTGTTATGAGATTATGAATTTACAGTTATGTAATTATGAATTTTCTGTACATTCATAATCTCATAACAGAAAATTCATAATTTTATAACAGAAAATTCATAATTACATAACTGTAAATTTATAATTTCATAACTGCACATTCATAAATCTATGCCTGCACATTCATAATTTATGAGTGTTGAAGAAATTTACGCGAAGAAGAAGTGAAACCGCAAAATGTGAATATGAAGAAGAAAAGTCGCGTTGTTAATTTAAAAAAAAAAAAAAAAAAAAACTTGGTGGAAGATAACGGTGCCTACTACCGTTTAGGACCGTGTTCACCATCCATGATGAACACGATTCCATGGCATAACGATTGGTTTTTATCATAACCCCAACAATGATATAAGAACGAAGACTAATGCTCTACAAATAACATAACAAAAAATATAGGTTACAGTTTTTATTCATTTCTTCTCTTTTCATCAATAAAATCATGACAAGTAACATAAGTTTTGCTCACTCAGAGTCTATGTTACGTGTTCCTTATAAATAATGTTTGTCAAATCTCATTAATTGAACTTAAAATGAGACAGAGGAAGTAAGACTAAAGAACCCTATTAAACTGTGACCTAATGATTTGGTTACGAAAAAAGACTTGAAATCCCAATTGCAATCATACCAATCACCGTATTCTTACCATAAAATTTTAGTGGATGAAGTAAATCGTGAACATAACTCGTTCACGATATCTTGCCCTAGCTAAGGGCTCACTCACGATAGGGGTGTTTGATAAATAGTTGTTAGATGATAACTGTTAGTTGATTGAGTTAGTTGGTTTGACTAGATAGCATTAGCTGGGGGTTTGACTAGATAGCATTAGCTGATTGTAGAAAGATGTTTGGTAAATTAGCTTATAGCTGATTACATACAAAATGACTTTCTCAAAAAGTTGATCGAAAAAACTGTTCTAAGCAGATTTTTAAATTTCAATGTTTTGAAACAATAAGTTGTTACAAAAAGGCTAATTAATCAAACACTCATATTGATTATTTAACCAGATCAAACAGCTAATAAGGGTCAAACATGCCAAAATTAACAGATAAACTAACTATTTTACCAAAGAGAGTAGATAGCTTAGGCTAGCTAGTTGGAAAATTTACCAATTTTATTACTATCTAAACATTTGAAGATTGTTTTTTGGAGTTAGGGAAGGTAGGTAGAGGGTAGAGAGTGTAGCTTAGCTTGAATGTGAAAGCAATACATACAATATATAATAGGCATGCAGAGGGTAACTTTTGGTTGCTTTGTTTTCTTTGCACGCTTTTGGTAAACAACAGATCTGAAACTATTCCATTCTACCACTGCTTCCATTAAAGCTGCGTTGAAGATATAAAAGCTGGAAACACAAAAAAAGGATGAGACATAAATATCAGAGCAATTAATATAATGTCTCTCTTCTTTCTTAAAACAATCTTAATTAATGTGAGAATTAATTATGGAATGCGAGTGCAGGCTGCAGGTTGCAGGTTGCATTAGAGCTCGGCATATAAGAGCATCCGCATCAGTTGGGGATAATGTGGTGAGAATGTAAGAGTGATTAGGAAAGAGAAGATGAGGGGGGAGATAAAAAAAAAAGAAAAAAAAAAAAAGAAAAACTGAATTTTAAAATAAAAATAATGATATTTTAATGGCTGTCAGGCGCGCCTGACGCGCGGCTTTTTTGTTCCGAAGTGGAAGAAATGAAAGCATGGGTCCCACTTTCTGCTATTCTCTCCACATTTGCAGGAAGGTCTCAAATTTCTCTCTCATACCCTCTCTCTTCCAAGTCATCAAATATTGTATACTATTCTCCTAACAATATGCATTGATGGTGATGCTCTAAGGCCTGTTTGGTAACATAGTCAGTTTATCAGTTAATTTTGACTTATTTAACCATTATTAGTTGTTTGATTCGGTTAAACAATTCATATGAGTGTTTACGTAATTAGCTTTTTTGTAACAGTTTATTGCTCTAAAATGATAAAATTCAAAAAACAACTCAATAACTTTTTTGAGAATGTTATTTTGCACGTAATTTACCAAACACTTTTTTACCATCAACTAATGCTATATATCAACTAGTCAAACTCACTAATATGATCAGCTATTTACCAGACACCTCCAAAGTCTGTTTACTGCGATTTACTCCGTATTTCTTTTGTATACACATAAGTTAGAAGTTAGATTTATCTAATGCAAGTAGTGGCTATGAGTTTTTCTTTCCATAATAATAATAATAAAAGTTGGAAAATGTGCTAAGTAAATTTGGTTATCAAACGAAATGTTTTGTGAAGATTAGGTGGAAAAAGGTAAATGTTCAATTATAACTCTTGGATGTGACTTTGAATTGCACGATTTACCTACTACATTGTTCAATATGATCACCTCCAAGGGGCTTTCAATTATTTTGCATCGAGATTGTGTTATCTTGTTTTATGTAGTTTTATTTGTTGATCTAAATGAGCTTTGAATACAACTTGAAAATCTTGATCTAAAACTTCAATCCCATTAAACTAAAATCTAATACAAAACTACCCAAAATAGATGATCGAGTGAGTGAAGCATGATTCTTGTACCTGAAAGTTACGAGTTCGATTTTTACATCCTCTCAATCAAGTCCGTTCGTCACACACTCAGATAGTTGTTGTGAATTTCCCTCATCACCTATTAGATTAGAATTCTTCCATGTGGCCCGCATGGGCAGTTCAGTTGGTCACGAGGGTGAAGTTTGGGAAGAATGACCAGTGATCGAGTCTCATCAGCGACAGTGTGGGAGCAACCTCTTAAAGTGAGGGGGCTCATTGCGATTTACATCGTCATAAATGCTCCGTTGGGCAAAGTGAGGGGGCTCATTGCGATTTACATCGTCATAAATGCTCCGTCGGGCCGAAATGTGGAGGTCTCTTAGGGTTGGGGAATTCTCCCATGTGAGTTGATAGGGGGGGGGGGGGGGGGGGGGGGTTGTAGAGAATCATTTAACAAACATTTAAGGTAATTCATGTAATCATAATTTAATTATGCAACAAAAGGGTGACAAATTTGGTGATGTGGGGGCAAATGCATCACACAAAACTACTCTTACTTTGGTTACAATGTACTTTTTGATGAAGCTGTAATTTTTGTCATTTCTCTAACTTTACAGCTCCTGCATGCCTCTATACCCACTCAACTAGTCAAACTGTTCATTTGCTCTGTCTTCTCTTTCATTTTTTTCTTCTTGTAATCTTCCCTTCCCTTCCCTTCTTTTAACTCTAAAGTTCTCAATAGTCAATTTACCCACTACTTTATAATCTATACAATTATGTGTATGTATTGCCCCTTTTGTTCATTATTTTCACCTTTTTTTTTTGTTTTTTATTTTTTAGTTTTTCAATCATGCCTTCATTAGCTAAGCAAATATTTTCCCCTCTATACCGTTCTTGTTTGTCATGTTCTTCACAACGGTTAAATCGATACTCAAAATTACTATTTTAAATTGGGAGAGATATTTTTATGTAATTTTCATCTAGTAATTCAAACGCCCACCTTTGTCTATTGAGATTTGGACAGTCATGGTAGTTAGATTGCACATTTATGTTCATGTGTGCGGGCTGATTATTTTGGAAATTCGAACCTATGACCTTAGGCATGAGGTTGACTTTGATACCAAATTGAAGTATGTGTTCCATCTTAATTAAAAGTTTATGTTTATATATTATATGCTCATTAACATGCATTAGGTAAACAATGCGCATGTGTAATAGCTCACAGATCACACAGAATAGGTAAACCGAACTAGGAAGACCCTATGCGATGAGTTTGACCAAGAGGGTTGTTGGCAAGAATCAAACTCCTAACTTTCAAGTACCAAAATCATGCTCCAACCACTTAGACCACCCATTTTGAGGCTGATTGCACTATTTTTCATGTTTAGCTAGGGTACCTTATTGGAACCTTTTTCCGTTATGAGATTCAATTGCACTATTCACTAAATTTAATGAGCCAATTTAATTTAATACTTTTCCGTATAATTCATGAGAATTTTTACCGTGTCTATTTTTACCATGTATAACCGCCTAATAGTACGCCACATTGCACCAAATTGAAGAATAAGCTCCATTATTGAGACAAATTGACAATATCCAATACAATCCAAATAACATACATGGTTATATATGCTACAAATCAAAACGGTATCATTGCACCTTAAAAATTTCTTATAATTTATTATTTTAATGTAAAACCAGAATAAAACATTAAAAAAAAAAAAAAAAGATAAAACAGAGTTTATAGGTAAGGTCATTTTTTATTGTCCAAACAAAAAGTACTGTAAATTATTGTTTGCTATGATTTAAGAATAACACCATAATAAATGAAAAAAAAAAAAAAAAAAAAAAACTCTTAATTTGGTCCATGGCCCAACTTGTAATCCTGTCCATTCAAAGATTTCCACTACAATAAAAACTCCAACTTTCTCTGCTCTTTCAGTCCCCAACTCTCCCCCAAGTTTTTTCCATCCAAGTTCCAATTCTAGAGAGAGACAGAGAGATCGAGAGGGAGAGAGAGATATAGCTCAAGTTGAGCCATTATGCTTCTTGATTATCTTTTCTTGAATGAAATGAAATAAATGCAAACACGCCTAAACCTCTTCTTCCCGGAAGAAGATGCCATTTCAAGAACCACAAAAGCTTCCATTTTTGTTTGATGCTTTGTACTGTGAAGAAGAAGGAGAGCACTGGGGACAAGCAGACAGAGATCCCAGCTGTTCCATTGAAGAACAAGAAGAAGAAGAAGAAGAATCTGTGGTTTTGCTGGAACAAGATTTGTTGTGGGAAGATGGTGAGCTGAGCTCTTTGTTGTCTAAGGAACAAGAAAATGAGTTGTTTAATGTGGTTCAGAAAAACCCAGATTTGGCTAAGGCCAGAAGTGAGGCTGTGGAGTGGGTTCTTAAGGTCACCAGCCATTACTCCTTCTCAGCCCAAACTGCCCTTCTTGCAGTCAACTATCTTGACAGGCTCTTCTTCCTCAGCCTTGAGTCTCAGACTCAGAAGCCATGGATGAGTCAACTCGCTGCTGTGGCTTGTCTCTCTCTTGCTGCTAAAGTTGAAGAGACCTTTGTCCCTCTCCTCCTAGATTTCCAAGTATGTTTCCCCATTCTTGTTGGTTTTCATGGTTTTAGACTCTTTAAATTTCCAGTCCAACTATCAGCTTAGACTTTTAGTTGAAACGAAACTAATGTTCGTTTTTATGGTTTTGCCTAGGTTGAGGAATCGGAGTATGTGTTTGAGGCGAAAACCATCCAAAGAATGGAGCTTTTAGTACTCTCGAATCTTGAATGGAAGATGAACCCTGTGACTCCATTCTCGTTTCTTGATTACATTGCAAGAAGGCTTGAGCTGAAGAGCCATCTCTGTTGTGAATTCCTTAGGAGATGTGAGGGTGTTCTTCTCTCCATCATTTCTGGCAAGCACTTTAAACCACCATAATTTCCTTTTTTATTGTTTTCTTAAGCACATGGGTGCTTGGAATAGTACTAATGATGACAAATTCATATATACTAATCTGATGAAAATGATGCAATGCAGATTGCAGATTCATGTGTTACCTACCCTCTGTAATGGCATCTGCCACAATGCTGCATGTTATTAGCAGGCTAGTGCCCACTGTTGGTGAAGAGTCCCAAGAACAACTAATGGGCATTCTTGGAATTGACAAGGTTGGTATATATATATATATATATATATATATATATATATATTTCCCCGTGCCCATCAACACCAATGTCTTTTATACCGACCGTTACAACGTAACCATGTATGATATGTATTAAAAAAAAATGTTGTGACCCTTTGATTTAGTAACCAAAGGGTTCCAAGTTGACTCTCAATAGGAGCGGCTTATTGACCTTTTTGGTCTGGGCCAGTCAGCTATTGACAACTTAAGCTGATTTAGGACTTAGGACTGGTCAGCTATTGGCAACTTAGACTGGTTTACTTTCAAATAGTCTTTTACTGGGATACCGGCTAGAGTCACAAGGCTAAATTTACCTAGTTGTGTACCCTCTGATAGTGACTGCAAGTTTTCCTCGTCACCCAAAACGGAACATACATTTGTTGACTAGGGTTACAAGGCAAGGTTTACATATTACACACAAAAAAAACATAGTTTTACCCAATACCAATCTACATTGTAGATTTTGAGATTTATGAGTTGAAGTAACTGAGATTGAACAAAACAGGTGAAAGTGGAGGAATGCCAGAAGCTAATCAAGGAAGTAGCATCAAGAATCCAGTTTGAATCAGCTTATAAAAGGAAGTATGGAGCAATGCCAGGGAGCCCTAAAGGTGTGATGGAAGTGTCATTTAGCTCATCATCATCATCATTATCATCAGACAGCTCCAAAGATTCCTGGGCAGTGTCTGCTAATGCTTCTTCATCTTCTTCTACCTCTGCAACATCCTCAGTTTCTTCATCCCCAGAGCCATTGTCCAAGAAGACAAGGATGATGTCTCCTCAAGAACATCAAAACTCCCCCACCATCACCCCTCAACATATTATTAATCATTAATCTTGTCCTTAATATTTCCTTAATTTTAGACTAAATAATAGCTAGGCACCTCATCTCATCAGCTCCCTGTTCTTGTTTATTTGTTGGTAACATGTTAAATTGCCCACCATCTTTGCACAATTTCAGTCAGTCCAAGCCCCTCTTCAATGGTAGGGTGCTACATTATATTATATTTATGATGGGGCATGGAGATTTGGACCCCCTCCTAGAGGTGGAGATGGTATGCATTTTTTCCGGAAATATATACCTCAAATATATATATACCATTTCAATAAGAGTAAACTTAGTTTATATAACTTTCAACTTGTCCAATATTTGATTATTTCTCTCTATTAATTTATTTTTTAATTTTAAACTTTATCAAGGACCCAAGTGAAATAAAATTCATGACTTTTAAATTATGAGTGACTAAATTTACTACTAAAACTAAATCATAAAATAGTAATATAAGTTATTTGAATGTGTTGTATAATTGGTGAGTCACAGGAGATCATACAATAATTTCACCAAGTACAAAGTATGGTCACGATAATGTTATGTACGGGATGATGAAATTTTAAAGGTACATTTTGTTCATATGATTAAGAGTGATGCTACGATTTCATTGTGGGTAAATTTTAACTAGATAACGGGAATCATATGTAGCTTATTAGACAATATTTATTTCATACCACGCACTATTAAAAATTGAATTAGTGTGCTTGTGAGTGGGTGCAATAGTTGTATGTACTTGGAGTGTAAGTGCAATAGTTCTACGTATCTAAACTTTATCAAACTAATTACCAAACATTATGAACCTGCCCCTAAAGTACACATAGAGTCTAATCCAACCTTAGTCCAATTCTGAGAATCCCATCTCCAGATTTTCTTTGGTAGAGTTTGAATCCCGACTTTACCTTTCCACCGATAACGAATTTTAAATACAGTTTCTCAATCAATGGACCACTACCTAGTGCCAATTGCAACGTTTTTCAACAAAGGGGGGTGTGAGCATGAGAGGAAGTAGTAAAAGGAGTGAATTTGTTTTCATATGAACGGAAGAACGTGTTGTCGGCCATTGGCATTTTCTTGGGGGAGGGATGGATTTGCAATAATGATATAATTTTGGGGTTTGACCTCGTTGGAAGAGCCAAGCCATGGTGAGACTTGTGCTTCATTTCTTGTGACTTATTGTGAGGCAATTATATTGAATTTGAATGCAAAAACCTAGCCTACATAACCTACATTTATGATTAGGAAAATAATAATCCCATGGGCTTAGTTCAATGGTTTAGTGAACAATATTTGGGACAAGAAACCAATGTTTAAACCTTGACGGCCATAATGTAGGAATTATGTCCAAAGTGGTTAGATTCATGCGCATCGGTATTTGGCTCTGATTGGAGATTCAACCTTTTTGGGACATGATTTGGAAAATGATAATTTCATTTCTTGCCCACATAAATATGAAATGCTATGTTAAATCTTTACTTCTAAATATTATAGAATATCCATGAATTAATTAGGTATACATACATTTGAATGGAGATGTTATAATATTATAATAATATTATTGTGGTATGATCATTTTTGGGCTCCCGTCAACAAAATCTTTGAAATGTTGTTAAATATGAGAACATTTGGATCATTTTTATACAAACTGGGTTGAATGACTTATTTTTATTTTTATATTTTTGAAAAAATTCATAATTGAAGATCTAAATGTCTTTGTATTTACGATTTCGTTGATAGATGATCAAAAATAGTCATGCAATAGTAATACTAGAACAAAAGAGAGTTGTTCTTAAAAAAAGACTAAAAGTGGATTGACACCTATAAATATAGAACCAAAACTGAATTTAATATTTTAGTTAAATAATGTCAAATCCAATAAAGAAACCAAAAAAAAAAAAAAGAAGTAGTTTTAAAAAAAAATAAATAAAAACAAAGACAATTAATAAATTGTTATGTGTAGAAATTTCTTAATTTTGTCTTTATATATATATATATATATATATATATATATATATATATATATATATATATTAATAAGATTACATAATTTAATTGATGTTAATGACCTTGTGGTCTAGTGGCATGAAGTGACTCTTCCAAATGTAAAGTCATGGTGTATAAAGTAATAATTTATTATTAATAATAAATAATAAATTTAGGATTTCATGAAATAGAAATTGTAATGGCTTTGTCCTCTTCTATTAAACATTGAAAAGATAAGAGATTCAATTTTTTTTAAAAAAAAAAATTTTAAAAAGCCAAAGCCAAAGCCAAAGTCATGATTTCTTTAGTTTAAAGTGGTAAAAGAAAGCACATGCAAGGGTTGTTTATGGGAGCTAGCTAGCTTTTAATTTTTGCTACAAAATCAAATTAAGAAATAAAATATATACTTTGATATTTGGACATTTTGTTATGAATAACTTGAGGAAATCATTTTATTTAGCCACGTATTATTATCATTCAAAGTGAATGATTAACATAAAAGAAAAAGAAGTTCACTACTTTTTTTTTTTTGAATGCTACTAGCTCTATTACATTGTAGTATGTGTTCATATACTTTCTCAACCTACTAAAACACAAAGAGCTAAAAATAACGCCTTCACTAAGGCTCGAACTCACAACCTTCCAAATGAAAGTCCAACCCAAGTACCATTAGACCATATAGTCCTGATTCACTACTTCAATTCTTATCAAAATTTAAAGATGAAAATTATATCCGTACCTGAAGAACTCTCCATATCTTCGCTCCAACAGGTATTAAAATACTCGTACAGTTTAGGTAAAGAGTGTGGGGATGAGGTGAATTTGTTATGCCAGCGTATCGGTGGAGGTATCCCCTTCCCGCATTCACATTTTGATATTAAATATTTGTGTTATTAGTATTCACTTATATAATATAAGTTATATATATATATATATATATATATATATATATATATATATATTATGTAATTAGAAAAGTATAATAAATTGAACTTCTTTATGAGCTGGCTAGTGTTTTGAAGATTTAAATGCATTAACATCTCATTGTCTTAGTTTATTTAGATTACAAATGAATTTTTATTTGTAAGTTTTTGTATGGAATTACATGATGGATAATAATTTGTACGTAATTATGTGATTCAAATAAATTGGAACACCAAAAGTGATCAAATTAATAATTGATAATAAATATATAATATTATTATAATCAATGGATTACAAATAGAATCAATCTTTTTTCAAAGTTATTTCATGAAATAAAGTTTCATGTTCAAACTATATTGTGTATATATATGATGTTCAGACTTAAAACAAAAAGAATTAATCCAATAATTAAATTGTAATTGTAAAATTTTTATTAGATTTAAGTGTGTTATTAATGATTAGAGATGCGGGTGGGTATTACCTGCACCCGTAAAATCTCAGCAGGGGCGGGAACAGGTAGGAATTTCATTACCCGCGCAAGTGCGAGTGTGCGAATGCGAGTGCGAGTATGGGGAATATATCCCCCGCCCCGTCCCGCCTCATTGCCATTATATTCCTACCAAAACCCTATCGATCGAGTCTGTCACATAAGATCTTCTTGGTGCAATTTATTTCTCTTGTGTGATTTGTAAACTAGCTATTACACATCATGACGATAGATTTTCCGGATCATCCAAAAATGTAATCATTAATACAGAACTTTTTCTATATGTGGAAAACATATTACTCCGTATTATACTTTGCATTCTTATTCTTAATCAAAGCTAAAGTGCTAACTATTACTCTTTTTTTTTGTGCCAACTTCTTGGTGCTTTTTTTTTTTTATTTTTTTTTATTTTTTTTACTTAGACTCCAAATTTGTCAAACTAATCCTAAATCCACAAGATCCCACCCCTTGAGCCACACTATTACTCCACACCTTCCATCGTCCTGAGCTCTTTTCCCGTTCATGTTTTAAGTGGACTTCAAAAGCTCATACTGTCACTTTTAGTCATGATTTGAAGTCAGGTGACGAACCACTAGACTAAATCTCAGGACACTAATACTTTATTTTAATCTCTTATAAGAGATGAGGGTGATAAGATATGAATATAGGCTTATACATTTTTTTTAGAAAAAGGTAATTTATCAATAATTTACACATCGAACATTAAAGCTAACTTGTAGTTACATGATAATAGAGATATCTTTGTATAAATTTCAAATTCAAACATTAATGAAAATATTTTATTTGTTTTCTTTATTAAGAAAAATTTGAGAACATATATCAATAAAATTTACTAGTTAATTTGGATTTTGGTTGCTAATGATCTCTCTAGTTAGTGATTATTATAAAATTTAAGGTTAATTGTATCATTCACGTCTCTATATAAAAGTTATTATAAGCGTGATCTATAGGCATATAAAATATGAATACTTGTTATAAATGCCTAACCCAATTATCAGGTTAGAATTTTAGTTAATATTAAACACATTATTCGATTAGAAATCAAAGCCAAATCCATGCGCAAGATCATCATATGTGACCTATCAAAAAGTTATCGTCTCACAGACGTAAAGAGTGCGTTCAACATATAATATATGCATAATAAATGTATAATCCAAGTGTCAAACTATCAAGGAGATGAAACACTCTCTTAATTAAGAAAACCTTTATTATTTAGAATATTTTTTGATAAGCAAACTCATCTAGGTTATAGACTAAATAAAAGAAAATAGTTGTTGTGTCAATTAAAAATTTAAATTAATTAGATGTCAACTAAGATGACACGTACACTATAACTAATTATACTTGTTTGTGTTGAGTAGAATTTCAAAAATAGAAAAAAGATTTACGTTATCTCGTTTATCATCCTAGTAAAAAAAAAAAAAAAGAAATTGAGTAATGAAAATAAGAAATCCGAGTAGAATGAGTTTTCAACAAAAACATAATGAAATTAAAGAAGAAATGAACTATTTTAATTTAGCACATCATTCTTGTTGTAAGAGGCGCTAATCTCGGAGCAGCATTATAAATTATAAATTATTATATTATATTACACAAAGTAATAAAGTAATTTCATTTCCGCAGATGTTGACTGTGTCTTGTATTAGTACTCAACTGGTAATGCGTTCTTAATATTTTGCTATTGTGAAATTAATAAATATTTTTTTTATTAAAAATACTCTTCTTCTAAATATTTTTTTATTTATTTATTTACTTATCTTCTCTCTCTCTTAATCCACTATGCATCATACAAAATTCAAATGCTATG